TTAAGGAAATAAAATAAACAATTTATAATGTTACCATATTTTATTACAAAAACGTACAACGATATTTTCTTTATAAAAATATTTGCCAGGAAGTCTTTGACTAGACTTGACAGGAAGATAAATGGAGAACTAAATGAGAATGTGTAACATTAGTCATTAAAAAAAGGTGTTTCAGAGAAAAACATTCTTAAGGCATCTAAATTACATGGATTCCAAAATATGTGCCAGTTTTTCCTGGGGGCAAAATTTTTCTGCATGCAACCTTTTATTGGATAAAAAAAAATTTACAGTTGTTTGTCTCTACTTTATTTCGAAAACCACACAAAAGTAAATTATAGTGTTAAGAAATAATTTAAAATGTGAGAAATATAATTGTGTCAATTTAAATTTCTAATGAATTTCAATCATTTGCAACTGGAATGGACTTCTTTTCCTTATAATTATCTTTTTCTAAGGGAGAGGGGTGGAAACTTGTTTAAATTCATTATAAAACAAATATGTGACCTAATTATATAATTTTGTTAATTTTACCTTTGATAATGAAGAATGATGGATAAGGTGTAAACACTCACAGCTGATTCCATATTGAATTTTACAACCCCCCCTAGGGGGTCATGATTTGAACAAACTTGAATCTACACTACCTGAGGATGATTCCCAATAAATATAACGAAGCCTGGCTTTGAAGTACTTGAAAAGAAGATTTTAAAAGGTTTCCCTATGATCCTATGTAAAACTTTCATCGGCCGTTTTGGCCCCACCCTACCCCCGGGGGTCATGATTTGAACAAACTTGAATCTACACTACCTGAGGATGATTCCACATGCGTTTCATCTTTCCTGGCCCAGTGGTTCTTGAGAAGAAGATTTTTAAAGATTTTTCCTATATATTCCTTTGTAAAACCTAGATCGGCCATTTTGGCCCCACCCCACACCCCCAGGGGTCATGATTTGAACAAACTTGAATCTACACTACCTGAGGATGATTCCACATGCGTTTCATCTTTCCTGGCCCAGTGGTTCTTGATAAGAAGATTTTTTGAAAGATTTTCCCTATATATTCCTATGTAAAATTTTGTAAAATGTTCATTGCACATTAGTTGGCCCCCTCCCGTTACCCCGTGGGTCATGATTTGAACAAACTTGAATCTACACTATCTGAGGATGATTCCACATGAGTTTTCACCTCTTTCCTGACCCTAAGGTTTAGTTTTTTAATTTTTATATATTCCTATGTAAAACATTGTTTTTGGCCCCACCCTATTTGAATAAATTAACAAACTTGAATCTACACTACCAGAGGATGATTCCACATCAGTTTCATCTTTCCTGGCCCAGTGGTTCTTGAGAGGAAGATTTTTAAAGATTTTCCACTATATATTTGAAGGCAAATGTAAAAATGTTATGTCCATTTTGGCTTCAAACTAAAACATACCGGGGGTCATGATTTGAACAAACTTGAATCTACACTATCTGAGGATAACTTGATTCCACATGAGTTTCATCTTTCCTGACCAAACACATCAAAGAATTACATTACAATTAAGAAGATTTTTTTTTAAAGATTTTTTATATATTCCTATGTAAAACTTTAAAAAAATGTTATTTTTTCCCCGAGTACAAAGTGGTCAAAATTGTTAACAAACTTGAATCTACACTTCCTGAGGATGATTCCACATGAGTTTCATCTTTCCTGGCCCAGTGGTTCTTGAAAAATTTACGAAGATTTTTAAAGATTTTCCCCTATATATTCCTATGTAAAACTTTGATACGGCCATTTTGGCCCCACGGATATAGCCCCGGGGGCAAAATCCTTAACAATTTTTTGTAAAATTTTACGGTTATAAGGATGATTCCATATAGAGTTTCATCTCTCCTGGCCCAGTGGTTCTTGAGAAGAAAATTTATAAAAAATGTCATTAATTTTTCAAAAATCTAAAAGTAGTTATATTTAACTCCCTTTATTTTAAAAGTATTTGCAAATGAAATTCAATTTATTATGAAAACCTCAGTTAGCTATATGTTCTGAACAAATATCCGGTTGTAATCCCCTTCACCCAAAGATACTTTGTACCAAGTTTGGTTGAATTGGTATATACATTGGTTCTTGAACGGATATAAGATGAAAATGTGAAAAGTCCTTAGGACTTCGATAACAATGACAACAACAACAACAACAACAAAATAAGAACAGACAAATTTTGAACCTCCAAAACATCATAGGTGGGATTAGGTGCCATGGAGAAGAAAAATCTCGTTTTTGCTGATCCTGACCCGGAAATCTCTATTTGCAATTACAGTCCTTTGACAATTCAGTGTGTATATACACTGTAATGAAACTAAAATTTCAGAAAATATTTGAGACAAAAAAGGGTTTTTTGATATCCAAGGTCTCTATGAAATTTATATTTCACTGTAATGAAGTGGACTGTTAAAATATTAACAGCAGAGGGTATAAGATACAAAGGTGTGAAATTTATATTTCTAATAAAGTGGGACTGTCAATTTAACTCCCTTTGACAGATATCTGTTGAATTCCATACATAAAAGTTCAAGTGTACTTATAAATTAGGACTGTAATGGATGGAAAATTTAGTAATGATAAATTGGTGGAAAAAATGTCAATGTATCAATACATTAACAATGTCATTCTTTTTTTCAGCTAATTATCTATAGTTTGCCCTAGATCCATCCTAATGGGACTAAAACTCCTGTGGGGCAACTTGAGAAATGACTCTTCATGTTTACATTTACTTAAAATAGAACTCCCATCTAGTGATGAACAAAAGGACTTCATCTTTACCATTTTCAACTTTCTTTATCTATATAGTAATATTCTAATATCATCTACATGTGTTGTTTGTGTTTTCCATCTTATTCCATACTCAAAAGCATGCTCCAAGTATGACCAATTTTTAAATCCAGATCAAGCTGCTTAAACAAATGATACAATATTACAGATTCGACCTAACTTCAAACTTAACTTTCTGTAAAAACTAGACTATCATTAAAAATAAAATGTGCTTTATAACCTTCATTTGTAATATTTTCTATTATGTGAGCTTTTTAAAATCTTTAAAATTGACTACATTAATAATAAAATACCAATTTTTAAGGACAAATTTTCGCTAATATTTGACTCTTTATTAGCGAACATAATTTCCGAATTGTTGTTTTTCCTTATATAATCGTAAGGAATACTTTTAAATGCGAGAATGAAATTTTCGTGAGCTCATTGTCTCGCGTAATTATGCAAAAATAAAGTTCTCACAAATAAAACATGATTTACAGTACATACAAGAGCTCTTTACGGGACGTGTGGCCAATCAGCAAGGGATGCTTACTCCTCCTAGGCACCTGATCCTGCCTCTGGAATTTCTATGGTCTGTGTATCATGATCTGTTCATGAATTGGTTTTGTTTCAGAGATTGATCTATATACATCCTCTTTTAAGGACGTGTGGACCATATAAACAAGGGATGGTCCTATGTCACCATAGTACTAACTCAAAAAGATACAGCAAAACTTGTTTGGACGAACATGGATATTGCCAATTCACAAATTGGTTTTATCTTGTTTCCCCAGCTACATAAGTTTAACCAATTCCTTATACGGATATACCATATAAACAGATATAGCAAGGTAATTTCATGTGTCCCCATGACTTTGTTATAACCAAAGTTTTACTGTACCTTAATGATCAAGGTTGTAACTAACTTCCAAAGTACCTGTTTTTTGGTAAGTGTTGATATCCACATATGTCAGAAGAATTCTTGAAGGGCATTAAACAAACCAGATTTCCTATTACCTTTCCAACTGTTTTTGACCTATACTTTCATTCCTAAGAAGTATATGTCATCAGATGCACTTTTCAGGAAACCATAGGGCCTTTACAGTCACCTAAGTTTAAAACACAGATATATTACTTTAATAGTACCTTAATTATCCGAAGAATCATATCTGATTCACATCCAGTAGAAAGGCATTGAACATCAGAGCAAACAAGATGCCTAGATAGAATGTTCTATCGTTAAAATGAAAAATGTCCTACAGACCCGGTTTAATGATAGAATTCGTTCTTTGTATTCTCAATGTAGCACATAAACATGGGCGATAACTCGTACTCAGTGTATTTACTACGGACAATCCAGAGAATTCCGAATGTAAACATGGCAGGTAAATTTGAAGGGAGAAAAATCGTTGAGAAATTAGTTGAATTTTCCTCGTTTTATTGATTATTTTTGGGGATAAAACGCATATACAATCTCCAAAAGGTTTGTTACAATTAATTTGTAAGTTATTTTCAGTGCAAATCCTTTTGTATTCTTAAAAATCGTTTCGGAGCGATTCTGCAATTATTTGCTATATTGCGAGTATATGGGAGGTATTCTAACTGTGGTGAGGGCTTGTCCCGAGACACCAAGCATCAAAGTTGGTCTGGCAATCCACCCCTGTCAACAAGACAAATGACTGATAAACAAAACAGTGGGAGCTATGCAACACGTTTTAAAGTTGTTTTACAGAAGGGAGATAGGCATTTAATTTATATCATCTATGCATAAAATCTGGTATATTTTTGATATTTTTCATACAAATATTAACATCTAGCCTAATATATTAATGTTATCAAAAATCATTTTAAAAAATAAATGTATATATGCAAAATAAAAGTAGAAGTAAAAAACATACAACTCATCCATCTTTTTCTCCTTCTTCTATATCCCTCATGATGGGCTATTGTCTTATCTTAACGGTATCCTCCTCCCTCTCTATGATCTCCACCTACCCCCCCCCCCCCTTTATTCCAAAGGAGGACTTTTCCAGTAAGTCATCAGTTTTTTGTCAAAGTTCAGGTGTGCAATATGAACTTATGAATTCCCTTACATATATTGTACAATTCGTTAACATTGAACACATTGCTATACCGGTGAAAATGTGATGACCGTTTTTCCTCTCCTCCGTTTCCCGGGAAAATATTAAAGATCGGGTTCGGTATTCTGAAGGGAGGTAAACAAAAACTCCGGCCTTGAAAATAGATCAAAAAACGACAAAGCAGCAAAAAGTGAACACAGAATTTTGAAGTAAAGATGAACCCTTTTGACCCAGAGCTGTTAGAAGCTGTATGTAAATACGAAATCACTGCATCATTTTTTTTTAAATTCAGAAATTATTTTAAGACTGAAAGATCATTGAACTGTCAGTATGTTTACCTGTTTACCAAAGTGATTAGCACGTGGGCTTACAAAGCTGTCTAAGTGTAATTAAAACGCACTAAAAGTCCTTTTAGTTTATTTCCTCATTAAATGTGTTCTTCTTACAGATGTAATAGGCTCGTTAGCTCAATTTTCATGAATAATTGATGGAAAGAAGACAGTCAAATCACAACACAAATTTTTAATACACTACAGTACCGTTGAACATGCAATATGCTTGACATGTTTATAATCTGTAAATGTATTACATTTAGCGTGTACGATGTTTTGCGGAAATATAATAAGTGAAATCATTTCCATGCATGCAGTTAGCATGGTTAGCAACCATTGCAACCATTAGGTCAGAGTGCCTCGTACAATGTTTATGTTTTAAGTAAAGTTCATAATTACTATGAGTAATTATCTTTACAGCTGATGATTGCTAGGATGAATAATCCTGGCATGTTCCAGAGCTTCTGGGAGTTGGATGAACAAGGAGTTGAAGAGGAATCGGAAGAAGAAATTCAAAGTATAGCATACAGTGTACCTATAACAGAAGTTACAGAAGTTTATACAATGATGAAATGTTTATTTGTGAAAAACAAGATTATCTCCAATCATTAAAGATAGCAACCTTTCTAAAAACAGTTCAAGAAAAACTTAAAGGAATATTATATATTATTTGAATAAATTGAAATACTATTATTTTTTGTTGCCATAGAGGATCCAAAGAAGAAGATACTGTGGGCTGCGGAGAACAATCACCTTGACATTGCCAAAAGTCTACTGGAGGAAGACCCCTCTCTGGTTAACAGTCGCGATAGTGATCTCTACACCCCTTTACACCGAGCATGTTATAATGGACACACAGGAATGGTAAAGGTACAGAAAAGTCCCTCAGTATTTTTTTTTGTATTTCTTCTTTTCACAATTAAGTTAAGGCTATAATAAAAAAGTAATTCCTAGATTCTCATCCAAATTTTTTTACCAATCCCATTTAGAATTCAGATGAAGAAAAAACAGAAATAAAAAAAATTGAGGTGGGGGTAGAAAAAATATTTTTATTTTGGCCTAAACAAGTAATTTTTATGTACACTTGTTTATATAACACAAAGATGATTGTTGATAAGAAATGCAAGTGTATGTTTGTATATTTAGATTACATGTATTTATCCCTTCTCTCCAACAGTTTCTCATTGACCACAATGCAGACATAGAAGCACAGACAGAAGATGGGTGGCATCCCATTCACAGTGCAGCAAGGTGGAATCAAGCAGAAGTGATTTCTGTTCTTCTGGAGCGTGGGGCAGACATAAATGCCAGAACCAATAGCGGACTAACTCCCCTTCATTTAGCGTCCTCAGAAAAGGAAAATGGAGAGGCGATCTCATTGCTTTTATCAAACTGTAACCTCAACACAGAAATCAGGAACAGTTTGGGAGAAACTGCAGAGGATATCTGTTCTAGAACAAGTGAACATTGTAAACTCTTTGAGGAAAGGAGAAAAAGGTTGGCTCAACAGATGACTAGTGTGCATCATCAAGGAGGAAGTATGGACAATGTGGATCATCCAGAAGGCAACCAGGGTAATTTGGGTCACTTGGAGGGAAATCAGGGTCATATGGGTCAAGTGGATGGAAATCAGGGTCATGTGGGTCATGTGCATGGAAACCAGGGTCATATGGGTCATGTGCATGGAAACCAGGGTAATATAGGTCACCAGGAAGGAAACCAGCATCATATGGATCATCTGGATGGAAATTCAGGTCATATGCATCACGTGACTGGAAGTGGGTCAGTAGATCCTCAAGGGAACTTTGATTATGATACAACGGAAACTGAAGATCTCTCAGGGGAAGTGTTGAATTTATCTGACAATGTTGCTCAGGGATTTGAAGACTTGTATGTTTCTATGGATACCTATGAAAAGAATTCTGAATCAGATCAGTTTGAAAATAATGATCAAAACCATTATGCCATGGATGAAAACCCATAATCATAATTCCAAGACTTTGATTTTTTTTATAATATGCCAAGCAAAACAAAGTATGTTTCCTTCTGTTTTAAAGAAGGGTTTATGGACTTCAGGGTTTTTGTTTTGTAATATGCACATCATTGACATCAAGCATTGATTCTTTATAATGGTCAGTGTGATATTATGCAAAGCATAACCGAGTTTCAGCACAATCATTTTTCATGGTCAACAATGTTGGATGTTATTTTTATTTTACTGTGTGTCTCATTAAGGAATGCAAGATATTAAATGATGTTTTCAACACTACTGGTTAGAAACCAGAAGAGTTTTTGCCATAGTAAGATGTCTAGTGTCCATCGGTCTGTCTGTCCATTTTTTTAATGAACACTCCTGCAGTTTTCCTAATTCAGCAAGACCTGATACACAACTAGTACCAAGATACTCAATTCTGTATTTGGTTTTGACTTTGAAAAGGAGTTTTGCCATGGTCACTAAAAATAGAAAAATTTCTGAAAATCTTTCAAAACACTACTACAGTTTTTGTTTTTTCAAGACCTTGTACACAACTATACTTTTGTAAAGTGCATAAATCTATTGATTAGTTTTTGATTTTGGAAAGTAAGTAAAAGGAAAGTAGAAATTCTATGAAATTCTTTGAAAGCACTACTCTTCCTAAGCTTGATTTCAAATTTCAATAAGTGTTGGGACAAAATAAGACTATACTACAGTACGCAAACTTTAAATCAGTAGAGCTACAGTCTCTTTAGAGACTTCTAGTGTACTGTAAAATTATTTCAAAACCAAAATTAGATTAGCGTCTTCAGATACATCAATAAACATGTTTGGTGAAGTGATATGTTTCTTTCATAAACTCTTGTGAATCTTATATAAATCCTTGGATTCGATTGGAGACCTATGAAAGCTATTCGTTTGCAGAATAAGTCTGCTTTAGGTACATGTGGCATAAACTGTTTAAATTTTAGCTTACAAAAACCTAAATAGTAAAGTTTAAACTTCAACATAAATTATTAATGAATAATATTAAAACTATAATCCAGAAAATTCAGAGTAGAAATATGCAATAGCAAACTCATTCTCTGGTAATGTCAGTCCATGCTCAATGAGTTTAGCAAATTGAATACAACCTTGAAACGAAAACAGTTTTTATAAACGTAGCACGAGCTCTGTTGTTGATAATGTTGACGTTTCACTGGGTGTGTTCAATTGTTAAAACTCTGCACACACCACTGAGCAAGGACTGATGTTTTGGTTTTGTTTTCGCACATTTCTAACCTGAATTTTCTGGATTAAAGTTTTAATATTATTCATTAATACACAACAAAATTGCTCCCTTTCTTAAGATTTAAGGATAATGTTAAAATTTGTGAAAGTGTTAGGATGTGTCAATCAAACGCATCTAGAAATTTGAAGTTGTAATAACTTCCAGATAAAATAAGATTTTTATTATATTTTCGTATGAAATGCTATCGCAACATATAAGGCATGAAATTATACAGAAAACTTGAGAAAATATTAACATCAAATCTGTGCCTATGCACCTTTAAGATGAATACATGAACATACTTATTTTTATACAATGCTGTGAACTTGACAGGAAAGTCCAATATCCAACGATTAAAAAATCTTGAATGTAAATCAAAATTTGTTATGATTGATCATGTCCATGAAAGTGCATGTTTTCTTCTGCCTTGGCAGTTATTCACCTATTATATTGACCAACTGATTAGTTATAAATCAGGATTTAAGGATTTAAATTTAAAATACAAAAAAAAGCTAAGATTTACAAATATAAAATTTATTAGCTATATCACTTAATATTGCACAAAGTTCAACAAAGAGTCATTAAAACAAAGCAACAAGAAATATTTTGGACTTAACAAACTGACAGATATTGACCATCAAGCACTATGTTTATCTTGCACACTATTTCTCATTAATCCACATGCCCTTTGATCCCCTCCTAGGTTTTACAGCCAGCCACTTAAAACATCCTGTTCATCTTCATCCACAAATGGTTTGCTTATACTCCTAAAAGACAGAAAGTACACATTAGTCTTGGGAGAAAATATTTTTATATGCAGTTTTAATGTTTGGTGATGATTTGTGTGAACCGGTAATCTCTGTGTCTAGAGATAAAGCAATGTACATCTACTTTAATCCCAAGGTTAAATTTATATTAGCAATGCTTAGTTTGACCTTACCTGATCATCATGTCCCCACAATAAATACACTCTGATGCCACTAAGTCATCCAACTCAGCCTGTAAATTAAAACAACAATCACAGGAACTGACTACCAATCATTATAACTATGCATAGAAATGCAATTGATAATAGAAAATGTATGGCTGGACCAGGAATCTAACTGGAGACCCCCTATATCCAGGCCCATATCTAAAGCCCAAACCATTTAAATTCCTATCTCCTTACAAAACTTTTTTTTTTGCATGTGTGAGTTCAGGGTGATTAATGGCACTAAATTATGTAACAGGAAGGGAAAAGATGCATGGCTGGACCAGAGAACCCTTGCATCATTTATCAGGTACTGAGCTATAAAGGTTGATATCCATGATGCATAACCATTATGTAAACAAGATAAAAAAACAAACCTTGATGTCCTGTGTTTTGTCGGACTGATGATCTCCCCTGTTCCCTACAGATGCGGACCTCATGTCCTCGTTTTCGGCCAGTTTTCTCTGAAGCTCCTCCACTCTCTGACGCTTCTTACTCGTCAGATTTGGCAGAACCTACAAAAACATTTATCGTAGTCTATAACTGTATCATGATTATCTCTCAGGTTCTATCCTTAGAACAGAGGTATATTTAAAGTCATCAAAGGAAATGTCTCTAAAACTTGATATTAGGCTTTTGCTACATGTGCATTCCCTCCCTCCAAAACAATAGAATGTATAACAAATTACAATAGAACTTTCATGTAAAAGCATCAAAAAGTATTACATGTACTCCCCAATCAAGCAGTCATTGTGAAACTTGTGTTGGCATGGAAACAAGTAAAATGCCCTGGCCATCAGAGGAAAGTTACAGGCTGCACACTTATCTGTGGCATTGACAAAGGCATACCTGAAAAGCAAATAGCTTGTACTTCTGTAGCTGCAACTATTCATGGAAGAGGAAATTATCAATTGAACAGTAAACAAAGCCATGGTAAAGCAATTTTTTTTATTTCATGTGATTATCAAAATTATACTGTAGAAGTACTTTTTTTCCATGTGGTATTAATTTACCAAAACCAAGGAAATTTGTCCAGCATACTTTATATATGCAAGGCATATAGTGACTTTTGTGCACTTTAAACAGAAATTGCTCTTTAACATGGAAAAAAGGACATACATTATTATTTGCTTTAATGAAGACTGTTTACTCACTCTCCCTTTATCTCAAAGCTTCCAATATCCTGCTGGATACAATACAATCTTTATAATATACAACTGTTTGAGATTGATTCTGTACCTGTTTCTAAAGCTCTGTATTTCCTTCCTGATCTCCTCAGCACTGTGAGTCGCCTCGTCCATTTCCTCCTTCAGCTGATCAATGTGGTGGTTATATTCCTGGAGGGACGTCACTATGGCATCCTGAAAAAGTAGGTCAAACAAACTTTTCCAAACACTTACTGTGAAATCATTAATTTTCCTGGGGGTGTAATTTTCATAGATTTCAAGATATGAAAGAACCCATGACTTTATGTCAACCACAAATGCAATTTTTCACATATATTACTAATGAAAAATTCTTCAACCACAAAATCAAATTGCCATGAAGCAATGTATTTTCTGCAAACCATGAAAATATGACCAAAAATATGGGATTTTACAGTAATCATTTATATAGATTTATCGTGTATTATGCCTAAAAAAGATCTTTATTACCAACTGAAATGGTATATCTATGTAGTGTGCTTTGTAATTTTTCATGTTAACTTTAGAAATCTCTCCTTTTTAAGAGAAAAATTTACTCTTGATGCATAAACTTATTTCAATTGAAACATCAAATTAACATTATATATGTGCATGTGTTTTATGATAAAGTTTATTACTTTAAAGTGATCAATGGTCACAAAATCTGGGAAAAATGGTAGGATATCTTCAATTTTCAGTAGTTCACAGTCATGAAGGAACTCCATTGCTCGCTTGACATCTTTTTCATCTTCCACAACATGGCGGGCTAAATGAAAAAAAGTTTTTTTTAATCTTTTATATAATCCAGAATTACTTGGAGATAAGTAATATCTAAAGGTACAAAAATAGGGAAAAAGTATTTTCAAGTTTTTTAAACAACTATTTCAAAATTGAATGAAATTGAATGTGATAAAAAAAATAACATTATTATTTAAAAAATAAGAAAATGAATCATTTCCGGATGGTTTAGAAATGTTAGACAGGCCATTTTTAGTTATAATAAATAGGAAATGGCAAAAATATTGCTTTAACCAGGCATTATCTTCTTGCAGCATTTGTTCACATTGTCATAATCTTTTAAATGCTGAAAATAGGACCAAAATTCCTTGTAGTTTTAAGCCAAACAAACAATCCATACAGAGGAAAACTATGAAAAACTTCTTACCAATTCTGAGCCAGAGCTTCTTTCTGAGGTCTATGTTGTCTTCATCTGGTTTGTCAGCCTGTTGTTTGGCCAATTCTACATCCACCTACAAAAACAACTAATTCATGCACACATCTTTTTCTACTTTCTTTTATTGAATGAGTATTATCTGAACTATTGTATAAAAACACAAATTTTCAAGAGGATCAAATTTCGTTGATTTGTTATTTAAATGGTTTCGTAGGTATTAAATTTTGTCCTTTCGAAAGTAACCTTATTCAATATATTGTAATATGAACATTTGGTGTGGGATTTAATTTTATTGATAATTGTAAACAACGAAATCAATGAAATTATTATGAAATATCCAACTTATACATGTACTTATACACCGTAAACTAAATCTTGTCTTTAGCAATACATTTTCCACCGAGTCCATAAAGAACAAGAAGTCTGTAAGCCAATGCTCACTAGTAATACCCCCGCTCTGATGTGAATATACAATATCATGTTAATAAACATACAAGTAAGTTCAGTAATGGGCATATGCACGGAAAAACAGGAAATTTGCCATCAAATTCATATAAAAATAAACCCCGCCATACTGCATGCCTCAACAAAGTATGTACTAAAATTTCAAGCATCTGTTATGAGTAGTTGCTGTGAAAACTGCAACGAAATTTTGTTATTTATGAAACGGACAGATGCACTGACAAACAGGAAGTTGACATCAGATTTGAACAAAATTGAATCCCACCATATAGCATGCCTCATGAAAGAGTGTGCGAAAATGTCCTTCGGAGCGGGGGT